TGTCCCGTAGAAGAATATCCCTGTTTCTAGGAGATAAATTGTGAAATATTTAGAGATGACGTGTCACAGCCCCTCCCTGCAATTTATTTTTAAATGGTTCAGAAAAAGTGAAAGAAAAGGCAAACGTAGTAAAATGTTAAAAAAATAGAAGAAGCAACCAAGCCTGTATTGAGATTTTGGGATGTAAGTATCATGTACATGCTTTATACAGTTACGTAAGCATAGCTATGATAGATAACTCTAATATAACTACATAAAGTAACTATAAGTTTCCTATATGAAGTTCAAGTTTAAAAAACTGGTATTGAGAGATAGAATCATTCTGTGAATTGGGGTCTCAAAAACTGAGACATTACCAGGAAAACATGAACCCAGGAGATGTTCTGCAGGGTGTGTGTATGAGTATGTACACTTTCATGTGCATGTGTGTATGTGTGTATAACTCTGCAAGGAAGGAAGTATGGGTAATTGTTACTGTCCTTTCTGCGGCTGGTCATGGGCTGTAATTATGTTTAGATCTCTTCTACTTTTCACTACAGATTTTTTTTCCCCCTACCTCCCCCCGCCCACCAACCAGGACTTCAGCTGCTCACTGTTTGTTGCCTTGTGGGGGGACCTCAGTCTTCCTTTCCGAGGGTTCTGAGTCTTTCCTCATCCTGTCACTGTGGGGGGCTGTGGGTTGCCATTCATTTTTAGCACATGACATGACAGTTCTAGGAGGCACCCCAGAGACTCTCCTGGGTTCCAGATCCCCTCCTCCATGCCCCTACTGTGTTGCAGTAACCCTACTTCCCCTTAAAATAATCAGGCTTACATCCCCATCCAACATGGTAACCCTCTTTTTTTTTTTACCCGTTGGCCCAGTGGCAATAGGACACACTCATGGCCAGGCTGTGTTCTTCTGGCAAAAGTATTCCCCTCTTGGGTACTAAGCCTCTTAACTGGCACAGGCCAAGGTGCTTTCCCCTTGTTGTCAGGGCTGACCCCGAGGGAAGCTGTAGCCCTGCAGCCTCTACTTCTGGATCCTCCCAGCCATCCCTGGCCACAAGCAACTTTACCTGTTCAGCCAAGACGTGAAACAAAGTCTATCATTTTCTCGATGTCCCATGATGTGACACAGCAGAGATTTGGTAGATGCTTGTGCATCCAGGCTTACTGTCTCTTCTTGAGTGGAGACTACTGTGTAAATGAGCCTGAGTGGGTCCGCTGGAAGATGGAGCCCACGTGGTCAACGGCCAGACCTTTGAATGAGGCCCTTCTGGACAACCTGCCACCAGCTGACCACAGAAGCGTGAGAGAGCCCAGCAGAGGTCACCCAAGCTGTTCCAGATTGGAACTGCCTGGCCAACTCACAGAATCACACGCTAAATAGAACGGCTGTTGTTTTGAGCTACTAAGTTTTGGGGTGGTTTGTTATGCAGCAGAAACTAACTGATACACCCACCCTGCCTTAGATGAACAAAGGCTGCCCCTTGGCCTCTGCCATTTTGAAGTGACCTCAGTTCCACTGAACTTGGGGGGCCCATCTCAATGGCAGCTTCTCCCAGCATCATTCCTGGGCTACCAAGGATGGTCACTGATATGTCCTCTGGGTCTTCTCAGGGGAGATGGCCACATGTGACAAATCCACTCAAATATCCTTCCACATTATACAGGAATATGGCTGTCATCCCATTTTCATTCAGTGGAGGCCAATGCCAAGTCCATTTTCAGTAAGCAACCTGGCAAGTGGGTTAGAACCACTCCCAGCTGGTCCCACTGGTGCCCCGGGATTCAGACTCCCCAGCAAGTGCATCTGTATCAGTGAATGCAGCCCGATCTACAAGTGTGTCTCTTCTTCGCTGGCCCAACACCCTTCCCGTACATGTTTCCCCTTTTTTGCTGACATAAATTAGCAAATGTTTACCATTTTAAAAAAGATATAAACCTCACCCCCCAGGTTTGACTTTGTATCTGCCCTCCAGAACAGACTGGAACTGACTGTTGTTTAAGTCTGGGGGCTGGGAGGGTGACAGGAATGGTGCGTGAGAAGAGTCAGCTTGCCCTGCAAGGTAGACCTCCATGAGATCATTACAAAGTTTCCTGGGAGGGGAGAGCCTCTCCCGTCAGCCATGGGGGCAGGGCTGCTCCTGCTGCCGGGATTCAAGCTTGGGTGCTTGGATTTAACTGCAGGTGACTATTCCATGCTTAGAGTCCCTCTCTTCCCCCAGATGATGCCCTGCCTTTCACACAGGAAACTTGGCGAGGCTGTGGATTTAGTCTGCAGCACACAGGATTAGATTCTGCATCTGATTTTCAGCTGTATCATCCCTGTAACAGCCCCAAGAGATGGGAATTCTTTTAGGGCCGTTATAAGAACTCCCTGGTACTCTAACTAGAGAGGAGTACCAGGTAACATGGACTGAGGATTTAAAGCCCTGGGACTATTTACTTTTAAGAAACTCTTTGGTATGACAGTAAAGAAAAAACCATCCACAGTTCTTGAATAAACAACGCGTATCATATTGTGTATGGAAGCCACAACGCAGTCTGCCGAAGCTAGGGATTTAATAGGTACTTAGCTCTGGGCGATTACAGGTAATCGTTTTGCCACCGTGTGCTTTGACCTACTAGATTTCATTCTCTGACGGTTACTAGGTCCTCACTGTCTTGAAATCAACCAGAACTAGTAACCAATTCCAGATCCCCACCCAGGAGGGTACATTGCCTGCAATTATTTCTGGTAACCAATCCTACGTTAATTGGGATTCAGCTGCAGATAACTGGAACCACTTTCGTTGCTGAAGCAGAAGGGAATATAACACAGGAAATCAGGTGATCACAGAGCCATGGCTGTTTGTGGGAGCAGGCTGCAGAGGGGGTCCTCCAGCAGTGACTCAGAATAATACTGCACGCTGGCCACCACCATGGAGCTCCCGAATGATGGCTGGCTCCAGAGGCACGATCTCGGGGCCAGATATTTTCTCTTCACCTCCCAGATCCACTCGCCACTGTTTTCCACCCTGACCTCATGCATGGACTGTTGCATCAGTGGGCTTTCTGGCCTCTGACTTCCAGTTGGATTTGACCAATGGGTGGCCCTGGCAGGAAAAAGGCATTTAGAGGAGAGTGAGGTCAGGGTATTTATCCCTCTGGCTCTGCCCCTCTGCTGGGCCACGGGGGTTGGCTGCATCCTTTACCAGAAGCCACAGCCCCTAGCCGTGGCCCCTCTTAGCACATGTGTCATTCTCTTCCTGGGCTCTGGAATCCATTCCTGCCTCTGCCCCCTTAGGCTTTGGAACTGGGACAGCTCCTATACTGCTAGCCTCGGGGTGCGGTACCATGTCTTCTGGGTTCCCTAAACCCTGCCCCAGCAGTCCCTTTACTAAATACTCTCCAGTTTCCGCATTTGAGCGTGCCATCTCTTTGCTGCCGGGACCCTGGGCAATGCACCTACTAGAATGCAATCCAGGGCTCAGGAAGCTGCCACCCAAGCATGGGATCCGTAGCCATGCTGTGCCCACTACACCTGCCCCAGCAAAATGGGTGTCCAGGCACATCTCCTTCTCACTGCATTTTGTCACGAATCCCGGTCTCGCGTGGGTGCTTCAGAATGGCAGACTAAACCATGCGCCTCTGTGTCTTCCTCTGTAACGTGGGGATATAAAAGCACCTGCCTCTGAGGCTGGGTTCTAGTAAAATTAAAGCCCTGACAATTATGCTTGCTTCGTCAGTTACTCAACAAATATTCACAGCAACATCAGTAATACCTTTTGTCATCTTCATAACATTTCACGAACAGCCACCCTTTCCTGCTTGCACGCTTCTCATCTGCTCTGCCCCCTTTTCTGCAGGATCTGTCTGCAGAGAAGGGGTGGTTAGCTTCCGGTCACCCAGCACTGTCACCTGTCGCTATGGAAACTCGCGACTTCAGCTTGGCTCATGAAGATTCAAGCTCTAGAGATCAGCTTGAGTCTGCCCCGCTGTCCTGGGATCTCTCCTTCTGGAATTCCTCTAGTCCTTTGCACGTTCCCTCTACCTGGAACATTCTTACCCATCTTCTTCAACTGGCAAGCTCTTATACATCCGTCAAAGCCCACTTCCCCTTTGGAAAGACTTCCTGATTGTAGCCATCGATATTTATCCATTGAGCCCCCTTTGTGCCAGGCGTTTCTCTAGGCACTGGGACAAAGGAAACCTTAACGGGGCTGTGGTAAAGAATCATGAGGGGATCTACTTTTTAGATAAGGCAGCTAGGGAAGGCTTCCTGTAGGAGGAGGCACTTAAGCTGATGATAACAATGCGAACTAAGCCATTTTAGAAGCTGGCATAGGGGCTTCTAGGCAGAGGGCACAGTGAGTGTGAAGACCCCGAAGAAGGAAGTTATGTGGCACTTTCAGGGAATAGAAAGGTTGTCAGTGTGGCTGGGAGGGTGTGAGGGCGGGAGAGGATACGAGATGAGGATGGAGGTGTAGCTGGCGGGTCACATGGGGACCTAGGGGCTGAGCTGGGCAGACTGGATTTCTTTTTTTTTTTTTAACATCTTTGTTGGAGTATAATTGCTTTACAATGGTGTGTCAGTTTCTGCTTTATAACAAAGTGAATCAGTTATGTGGATTTCATTTTAAGAGCTGTTGGACGCCACTGACGGCTTTTGAGTGAGTTGGGATGTGAAGTGGGTCCTCTGGTCGCCTGTGGAGAGCAACTCCTGGGTGGGAGGTGGGGTGTGAGTGGAGCTGGCAACGCGAGTCCAGCTAGTAGAGGCTCCCGCGTGGTCCAGGAGAGAGGCTGGGGGCGGGGAGCTAGAGCTGACAGTCTGCTGATGGTGGGCCTGGGGGAAGCCGACTCCCAGCCTCTGGCCTCAGGAACTGGCTTGGTTTGCGTACCGGGGAGGCGAGAGGGAGAGAAGGAGGTGTGGCTGGGCCCCAGGGGCAGAGCTTTCCGGTGGGGCTGCAGCGGCTTCGCTTTCAGAGCATCAGGCCCTACGGCCCCGGCAAGGAGGAAGCTCCCTGCAGACGCGGCCCAGCAGGCCCGGCAGAAGCCACAGGCCCTGGAGGAAGTGAGCTTCTTGCCCCTGAGGGGCCCCCGCCGACCTAGGGAACCCGGAACCTGTTTGCGCTCCGTGGTCTTCGTTTCCTGGCGTGGAGGAAGCAGCCAGGTGAGTCCTCGCCTCTGGGGCTTTCTGCTCGGCCGCCTGAGCTCACACGGAGGGAGGGCTCCGAGGGGCCTCGTGGAAATGGAGCCCAGAGAGCACAGGCTTAGCTGAGCCGCCACCGGGAGGGAGCCTGCAAGGCAGCCCTCTCGCCACCCAGGCTTAGAGGCGGCCGTCCCTCCCGCCCCAGAGGCCCAGACAGCCAGAAGGGCACTGGCCCACCTCTCGTGTAGCCAGGCCAAGAGTCTCCCTTTCCACCCTGTCATCTCCCCTAAGCTTCATCCGATGTGTTGGGGAGAGAAAGGCAAGCCCCAGTCTCCAGATGAAGAAACAGAGGCCCAGGTCAGGGAAGGGGCTGCCCGGGGCTGCTGATGGCTGGAGGCCGCTCCCAGCTCTGCGTCCACTCAGTTGCCTTTGGCGAGCATCGAGTCCAGCCCCTCCTTGTAAGGAAATATCAGGACCAGAGAGGGGAGGGTATTTGCCCAAAGTCACACAGCCAGAATGAGGAGGTGCCAGCCTGGAACCCAATCCCTCAACCCCCAGGCCAAGTTCTTTCCTCTTCTCTGGCCACACCCTGTGAACCGAATCCCCTCCAAAAGGAAGCTTGGGAATACAGGGGATGGAGTTGGCCCAGTGGCTGTGTTCTCCCCGCTCCCACACTTTAGGGCAGGACGGAGCCAGTGCCCCAGTGTCCCCAGGCTGGCTGCCAGCGTGACAGGGTGGCTACAGCCCTGCGAATGCTTCCGTGTCTCCGCAGCTCTGCGCCCTGCCGCTCCAGCCAGGCCTCCCCGGAGCTGGAGCTGACCACCAGCTTCTGCTGCATGAGGGCCCTGCCCCAAATGTCCGCTTGGGGTTGGGGGTGCTGGGGAAGACCCAGGGGCAGGAGAGAAAGTGGGAGGGCAGGGCCCTCAGCCGAGCAGGAGAGGAAGTGAGTCCAGGGGACCAGGAAGGAGGTTCTGAATCTGCCGGGCCCGGGGGGAGCCTGGCCCCTGCCCCCGGCAAGGACGAAGAAGGGTACCTGTGGGCTCTGGGAATGCTGGCCCTTCCTGGCGAGCAAAGAGATCCCCAAACCACCACGACAGGCCGGGGTGACAAGCCCCGTTGTGGAGAACCTCGCTTAGAATTGGGGCCAGGCAGGGCCAAGCCACCCCCTGAGAGCCCAGCCTGCACCCCAGTCCCGTCCTCTCACTCACAGTCTGCGGTGCCTCTGTGTCACCCCGACTCAGGCGCGGGGCCCAGAGAGGACAGGCCTGCCGTCCCCCAACCCCGCGCCCGCAGGAGCTCCTGGTCTGCAGATGTCACCCATCGGTGTGTTCACCGCAACCAACCATAGCAGCTCCATGCGGCCCGCCCAGATTTCCCCCTGGAGCTCAGCCCGAGGGTCTTCTAGATCCATGAAGCTCTGAGAAGTGGGCTGCTCCCTTGGTCCTACTGCCCAGGGTGGGTGGGCTTCCCGTGTGCTGTAGTGGGGCCATGGGCTGGCCGCCCTGCGGCTGACCAAGGACCCCATCTCCCGGCCAAGCCTTTGCCCAGGTCGAGACCTCAGTCGCTGCCTTTCTCCGCACCTGTGTCCCGCAGGGATCGGCTCCGAGCTTCCCTCTCACCAGGGGCCCCGTCCCTTTGCCCAGGCAGCACGGTGACTTGTCCGTCCAAAGTCAGCTCCCACCCTCTCTCTCCCTGCGCCTCCTGGTCTGGAGGAAACGACACACAGAGCGAGTTTAGAGTGACTCGGAGGGTGATGTCCTGTTTCCTGCGTCCCCAGGGCCGGCAAGGCAGTGATGGAGCCGGAGTCTCGCTACAACCTGCTGCACCTCCCCGGGAGGGTGGACCAAGCGGCCAGGGGGACACTCTCACAAGGTACCGTGCGGGCGGGGGATGGGGGCGGGATCTGCATTGTAAGAACCGAACAAGCCGTGCTGGGTACTGCATTGCTTTGCTAAGTTGTCAGCTGGACAACCGGTTCTGTCCAGCCTCTGCCTCTGCCTCCTGCTTTATACTTGACCCCCTGCTTCTGGAACCTTCCACAGAGCTATCCCTGTCTCCCACATAACCGCACATCTCCAGTCAGGATACTGATTGCTGTGTGAGCCCACTCTGGGCTGGGCCTGTGCTGAGAACTTCTTATACACAGCATCTCACCTATTACTCTGAGGATGGGTGTTTTTACCTCCTTTTTACGGACAAGGAAACTGAGGCACAGGGAGTAACGTAGCAGAGCACCAAGTCCAGGGCCGCGGGGCCGGCTCCGTTAACCGGCGCTCTCGGTTTATAAGTGGTTTCAGGTTGGAAAGCATCATAAGGAAAATTGCAGTTCGGGTGGTGGGGCTTCGTGATTTGAAAAAATATTTATTTTTTGTTTTAGAGTTGGTTTAGAGATACTTAGAATTCTGGCCGGCAGAGCTGGAACATGGTACGATTCCGAGTGGCAAGAAATCTGCTCCAGGGAAGGGCCACAGCCACTCACACGCTTGCTCGCTCTCTCCCCAAGCGTCTGTCAAGGGCCCGCCCTCCTCTCGTCAGAACACACGGGGCTGGGTGGTACACAGAGGTTTTCAGAACGTCTAGACGTCTCCAGCTGGGCCACGTGAACACAGAGGCAAGGCATTTTGTGGATTTGGGCAAGGCTGCCCCACTTGGTGGCTCAGTGTCCCACCCCATCCTTTGGCCCTGACCCTTGTGGGTTCTGAGGTTCTTAAACTTGCAGGAGATGCTGAAACAGGTCTTGGGGCTCATAGGACGAGCCTGGCAGCCTCAGTGTCATGCCCATACGGGGGAGCCAGACAGATGCCGGTGGACTCTGTCCTGGCCCCTTGGAGCCCGGGAATCTGGGCTCATCTGAGCCGTGGCTCCTTCTTATATATGTGAGTAGAGTTGCCAGGTAAAACAGAGGATGCCCAGTTAAATGTGAATTCCAGATAGACAAGAAATAGTTTCCGACTTTAAGTATGTTCCCAAAATACAGATGCTGCAGTGTCTGAGGATGAGCTGGTGTTCATGAGGGAAATGTGGGGGGGAAGGGCATTGGGGGGAGGCTGGAAGAGCATGGGCAAAGGAAGAGAGGTACAGAAGATGAGGTGTGTCCGGGGAATCAATCTCTTTGGATGTTTGGTGCTCAGGGTGTGTGTGTGTGTGTGTCTGTGTGTTTATGACGGCATGTGTCTGTGTGTGTGGGTGCATGTGTCTGTGCATCTGTGCGTGTGGACGTGTGTGTGTGTGAGTGAACTTGTACGCACGTGTGTGTGCATGTGTGTGTGTGCGTGTGAAGCAGCGCGACCGACTTCCTCTTGTGGTCTAGGTGCCAGCTCTGGGGGCGGCCTGCAGGGTCCCCAGGCACCTATGCTCATCTCTGCTTCCAGGAGAAAAGAAGAAGTTCCTGCCACCCACTTCCAGGAAGGATCCCAAACTTGAAGAACTGCAAAAGGTGTGGCATCCTTCTCTGACCCTCTTTCTCTAGAGGAGTCTTTTTGCTCCCTGGGGTGGGGACCGCAGCCCGCCCCCTCCCCTCCTCGCCCTCAGGCTGGTGGGTGGCGATCCCGCCGGCCCCTGGGGGACGTGCTGAGCGGCTGCGTGAAGGGATACTTATTGAGCGCCGACCGTGCGCCTTTACGTGCATGATCCCAGCACACTTCACGGCAGCGGAGAGGGATCTGTGCCACCTGCATCCCAGGGAGAGATAGTGAGGCTCGGAGAAGTGACCTGGCCTGTGGGGGACACATAGCTGGCCAGCGACAGAGCTGGGATTTGACCCAGGTTGTTGGCCCCCAATCTCGTGCTCCTTCTCTGGCTCAGCTGCCCAGGGCAGAGGACAGCTGGCGATGTGGGCAGGTATAGGCATGCATCACCCACTTCTTGGTACTCTTCTCGGCTGTAGGACCAGCTGGACACAGGCTTGGGACCTCCACTTTCCTCTGCCCTACTTCTGTAGTCTCCGTGGGGCCTTTCTGTTGCCTCCTCCAAGGAGGCCTCCTGGCCTGCACCACATTTGACCCCCTAGAGGATTTGTGGCCCATTCTCCATCCTTTTCTTCTTCCCTCCCATTCTGTCCATCCCCCCATCTCCTTTTCCCTCTGCTGCGCCCTGGGACACAGAGGAAAACCTGGCGGCGCGCTGACACTTCATCTTAGTCTGGGTTCCTCCAGAAGCTGATCCTGAACTAAAGATTCAGGTGCAAATATTGAGTTGGGAGGTAATCGCAGGAGACAAGGAAGGGGAGCAGGGACGTAAGACAGGTGGGAAGGAGACACCCAGGGTGGGTGATGGAGCAGGTGATGGTTGTCGGAGCTCAAGCCGGCTGGGAACCTTTGGGAGCCAGTATGGAACGGGCACCTTGGAGTCTTCCTGCTGGGGCAGAGGAGCTGGGGTGTTTATCCACCAAGTCCCGTGTAGCTCGGGCTGCTCCCTTAAAGGGATGGGGGGCTGCTTCTCTGCACTTCTGACTTCCAGGGACAGCCCTCGGCCTTTGCTGCAGTTTGCGGGAGGGGGCGGGACACCAGCGCCCATGTATTACCAAAACCTTACACAGAACAAACAATAGCCCGTAGTGGTCAGGTCTTCGGGAGCCCGGAGCAGGCCCCTGACTCAGCCTGGGAGATCAGGGCAGGCTTCCCAGAGGAGGTGAAGCTTTTCCTGGCCTTGAAGGACGGGTAGGAGTTGGCTGGTGGGAGGAGGGCAGAGCTGAGCCTGGTGAGAGGCCGGGTGAGGAGTGGCCCCGGGCCAGCTGTCACTCGGGGCCCACAGGTGCTGATGGAGTGGATCAATGCTGAGCTTCTGCCCGAGCACATCGTGGTCCGCAGCCTGGAGGAGGATATTTTCGACGGACTCATCCTGCACCACCTTTTCCGTAAGTGGCTGCTTCCAAAGCTGGGCAGTCCCGGAGGGCTGGGTGGTCCCGACTCCCCTTGGGCCAGCCTGGGGCCTGCCCAGTGCCCTCTGCGGTGCCCTTGGCAGATTGGCTGCAGGACAGTCCCATGAGCTACGGCTTCCTGAGCCCTTGCCACGGAGCAGGTGCAGTTAATCCGCAGAACAACTCTGTCCTGTGACTATGCCCGTTTTACAGACCAGGAAACTGAGCTCTGGGAGGCCTGGTACCTTGTCCAAGGTCTCACCGTGAAGAAAGTAGGGGAGCCAGGGGTCTCGGCTTTAACCACTGGGTCACCCTGCCCCACAGGAATGAGGAACGCGTTGATGTGTGGAAGGCTGGGGGTGGGGGGCACAGGAATGGTCAACGTGAGGTCGGCCCGGGGCCGAGCTCACCCCATCATGCAGCCTGCGTGGCCCATGAGGAAGGGCAGCACCCTGCCTCCCTGGAGGAAGCAGACTAGCTGTGGGTCCCCCGCAGGGGCCCCAACTGTCCCCCCGGCCAGCTGTTCCCACCCTCTCTCTCCCTCTTACTCCTTCCCCTGCCCTCAGAGAAGCTGACTGGAGTCAAGCTGGACGTGGAGGAAATCGCCTTGACCGCGGCTAGCCAGAGACACAAGCTCGCCGTGGTCCTGGAGGCCGCCGGCCAGAGCCTGCAGGTGGAGGAGCCGCAGGCCCGGTGGAGCGTGGAGAGTGCGTGGGGCTGGTGTCAGGGAGGGTGGGGGGGCAGAGCCCCAGCCTTCTACTCGGGCTGTGGGGGGTGCTGCCTTGAAGCACAGAACAAGGGTGATAAAGCGCAGCCTTGTCCATAACGCGGCCACTGCTTACTGCGTTCCGAGCATCACACACGCGCCCTCATCTACCTCGTCAGAGGGGCACTAACCGTCCTGCTTCATTAATTTAGCTAAGTTGCATCTGCAGTGCCTGCTCATAAGAAATGAGAGTGTGCAAAGCCCCACCCCGTTGACCATTTGGTATGATTTCCTGCCATTCCAACCTCTACATCTTCCCCATTTTCCAGATGAGAAAACCGAGGCCAAGAGACACTGAATAGCTTCACCAAGGTCGGGTGGTGAGGATGTAACAGTTTTCAAACCCGGTTTTTGTTGGGTCCCCTGCCACTACCTTCGCCACTGCAAGTCTCACATTCAATAATTGATGTTTGTAATGTTGGCCCCGAATCAGGTCGAATTCAGCTTAAATCTAACAATTTGTTCACCCAGGGCCCTGCTGTAGGACATCTAGCTGTTTAAACAGCACTGCAGTGAACATCTGTGTGTTAAAATCCCCGTCCACAGGGTAGATTGTGCCCTTGGGCTGTACTTGCAGAAGAGGGATGACTGGGGCAAAGTGTGACTCTTTTTAGGTTCCAAGTGTAGGTCTCCGGACCTCTGCTCTCCTGAAGGCTGGACACAGAGCTCCTTGGCCTGTAGAGGGTGGTTGTGACGATAAGGAACCCACCACCTGGCCCCAGGTTTGGTCGTCCCCCAGGGCTCTGACCTTGTGCCCCCTCCCCTCCCAGGCATCTACAACAAGGACCTGCTGGCCACCCTGCATCTCCTCGTGGCCCTGGCCAAGTGCTTCCAGCCGGACCTGTCCCTCCCGACCAATGTCAAGGTGGAGGTGATCATCATGGAGGTAAGGCTCAGGGTGCCGGAGGATGCCTGCCTGCTGGCTGAACATCTCGGGGCCGTATCGCCACACCCTGGATGGGGGCCTGCTGCACGGGGCGGGGGCTGAACTGGGGTGAGTTCCAGGGAGCCATGAGAAACACCAGATCCCACCAGGACAGCAGTGGGGGGTTGGGCTGGAGCTGTGGGCGGGAGGTACTGAGGCCAGTGAGGCCACGAGGAGGTCTGTGTGGGCCGGCCAGCCCCACTTACTCAGCAGACGGCACCTACCTGAGGCATCACGGAGGTCCTGGCTGACGGCAACCACATGGGCCATAAGTGACCATCTGTTCACGGCCTTTCTGGAGTCTTCACACCACTGGGCCACAGCCACTGCCCTCTCACCGTGATGGTCTCATTCCTCGACAGATGGCTGTGATGAAGGTTCCAGGGACCTTTCTGGGTTTCTCCACCCACGGGGTGCTCCCTGTCTAGCACGTGCAGGACTTCTGCTGTAGCTGATGCCCCGGGAGTCCATGCCTTCTCTCTCAGACAGACCCCGGGCACCAGAAACAGGCCCCACCTGCTTCCGCTCTCCGCTCTCCCCTCCCCCAGCCCCTGGGTACCTGGGGAGCAGCCGGCTTCCCTTTAACCCACCCGACAGAACACCCTGAGTCCAGCCAAACTCAGGAGAATGCTCTCTTACTTGCTCAAAACAGTTGACTTGAATTCTCCACTGAGCAGTGTCATGGCTTTGTCTACACGTATGTAAATCAGAGGTGACTTCATTCCTTCATGCATTCACCCACTCATTCATTCACTCACTCATTCATTCATTCACCCACTCATTCATTTGTTATTCAGATGAACACGGGTCCATTGATACCCTGTGAGCCAGTCACTGGGCAGACTTTGGGGATACCTGGGGAACGAGGCAGACGCGGTCCCCATCCTCGCGGGGCTCAAGGCCTGTGGGAAGAGGGACAATTAAGCTGGCCCCAGTGGTGAGGGCTGCCCAGGAGGCCCCCTTGAGGAGTGGATGAGGCAGAGTAAACTGGGTCCCTTGGGGCTGCTTTGGCCACTACAGTCGCCTCTGGTGGCAGGCGTGGTCCTAGAATTTTCTGTGGTTCCCCCTTTCCGTCCCCTTTTCTCTTTCCTAGAGCACCAAGAGTGGCCTGAAATCGGAGATGTCGGTGGAGCAACTCACTGAGTGCGGGTGAGGGAGGGACCAGGGGCGGAGCCTGGGGCCGGGGGCGGGGCAGACCTGCCTGACCTTCTTGGGAGGGGCCCTCACTCTGCCCACCGCTCTAATTGCTGCGGGGCCTGCATTGGCCCTCACAGGGCTCACCTCCACCCTCCGCAAAGCCCGGCAACACAGGAAGAGCTGGGGGCAGAAAGGGCTCTGGCCCTCGGTCATGAGGTCACACTGCAGGCACTGGGGGCCAGGAGGGACCCGGAAACTGGGGTGTCTGGACCCCAACCCCAGGCTGGTTTCCTAACACCCGGAGCCGGGTGCTGCCAGGAAGCCTTACCTTCATCGGTGGCGGGAAGATTCTGCAGCTGGGCATGAAACTTACAACCGGTGCCAGGAGGCAAGGACACAGAGGGCTCACTCATACCACCAGCGCTTAGTGAGCACCTACTGTGTACGGGGTGGGGCTGGGACCTGGAGTGCCCGGGTCAGCCAGCTGTCGGCCTTTCGCCTGTCCTCGCACGCAGGACACCAGAGGTCGATCAGCCAATGAGCTCTCCCCTCTGCCTCGACACCCACCTGCACAGCATGTGCTTCATGGCAGAGCTGGAAACACTCACATCGGGACGAGGGCCGGGCACGTGCGCTCTGCAACAAGAGAGCCGCAGAGTCCTGGGGTCTGGGAGAAGCAGGGGGTCCCATTAGGCGTCTCTGAACTGCAGGCCGCAGTTCAACCTTTAGAAGGGCCTTAGCAGTGCGGGACCAGGCTGGCCTATGGACTAAACTCCTGACTGCCTGGGTGGTAAAGGAAACCATACATGTACCTCGTATCCCCGACCCAAGCCCTCCAGCACCCCAGCTGCGTTGTCTCTCCAGGGAGACATGGCCGTCTTGCATTCCTGGACTCCCTTTCGTTGGAGATTGTAACTGGCCTCAGCCAAGGGTCCCTCCCTCCTGCCACCTGTAGGCTCACACTTCCGGGCACCTGCCCAGGTCCCTGCCCCGTTCCCTGGGTGGGAGCCCAGCCCTGCTGCAGGCCCCTGGGATGCTTGTTCTGCCCTGTGAATTGTAGAATCTTGACTGGGTACAGGCAGAATGTTTCTCATCTTTGCAAAGTTGCAAGAGCTGCGGAGGGGCCCTGGCTCTCCCTGCCGGGAGGTATTTCTCCAGACCCTGCCACATGTGGCTGGCTGGCATCCCCACTTCGCAGCCCACCTCGGTCTGGGCCAAAGGTCTTTCCTGTTTTGGTCTGAGAGTGGGCTCCTTTTGAAGGAAAGTTGTGGATTCTCCTTTCCGGTCTAACACTTACTGAAGGCCTACTGTGTGCAGGGCACTGGGCTGTTTCAGCTCCCTTAACCCATTTTATCCTCAGCAACCCCAGCTGGGTGAGTTCAGTTCTCTTCTGCTCACAGGCTGGGCAGCCAGCCCCACCTGGACTGAAATCCCAGATCAGCCATGTCTGAGCTGTGTTCCCTTGGGCAAGTCACTCCCCCTCTCTGAGCTTCTTCACGCCTCTGATAAAGGGGGACCCGTGCCTACTTGTTGGGGCTGCTGTGAGAGTTATAGGTGATGTAGGTGAGGGGACCTTCCCCCTCCTGTACGCCCCCAGCCCTGAGGTCCTTCCGGTCTACGGCTCCTGGGTGTTCACTGCGGATGGGGTGGGGGGAAGGGCTCAAAACTCTGCCAGTCGATGACGGTAAGGTCTGTGGTCCAGGCGGTGAGCCGAGCATGGCCAAGGGCGGAGGAAGCAGACCGCTGCTTGTCCCTCCTGCCAGCGGGGCCCGTGCACTCGTCGGCCCATTTACCCTCCCAAGGTCACCCTGGGAGGAGGGCTTGTCCCCCCCTCGAACCACCACAGCCCCACCCCGACTCTGGGAGGCTAAATGACCTCCCTGTCACCCAGCCGCTGAGCGGCTCTGCACGGGGCCCTGTCAAGGCTGAAGCTTCAGGCTCCGTGTTTGGGGAACTTGAGAGGGAGGGTGCAGTTAGCGGTCACGGGCGCTGCACCCCTTCTCCCTTCATAGCCCTAAAATCACCCTTCTCAGCCTCTGATGAGCTCGGAAATGTCTGTGAGGGCAGCACAGGGACGTGTGCCCCTCCTGGCAGCTGCCCCCGTGCTGAGCCCTGGGTCTCAGGCTGCCCTTTCCACCCCCCAGGGCCACGGACAGAGGGGCCGCCCGGCTCTCCAGGGAGAGTTCGGCCTACTTGGGGCCCAGAACCTTGCTTCTAGGAGGTGTGCTGGGGCGGAGAATTTAGCAACAAAGTCAAAGAAAAACCACTCAAAAACAATAAAAAGGGAGTGAAAGAAGCCAGACACTAGAGAGTACATACGATTTCATTCCATAGACGAACAGACAAAATGAAAGGCCGACAAGACAGATCAGAGCAGTGGTAACCTTTGTGGGGTGTAATGGGATGGGGGGGCACATTGGGGGTGCTAGGAAAGTTCTGTGCCTTGTTGGGGGTGGTGATTACACACACGTGTGCATGTGTAAACATGCACCAGCTCTAAAGTTAGGATGTGTGTGTTTTTATTGTGTGTGTAATATGCCCCCCGCAAACTAAAACAGCAACCACGAAAAGGACACAATCCAGACACTTCTAGGTGTGGGAGCCTCAGGGTAAGGTTTGAACCTCGTTTGCCATTTGCTTTTCACGAGGGCCCTGCCTGCTTACAGAGCTGCCAGGAGAAAGCAGCTGTCCAGTTTCTTTGTCAGCCTTCCCACTGCCGGGTCTTGTCATATGAAGAGATTACAGGTTTGAGGATGGTTTTTTAACCATGTGTTTCCTTTTTTCCCCCCTACGATTTTCCCTGTAGCACAGACAAGGACCAACCTTCGAGTGAGTACTTTCCTAATTTAGGGAATCTTTTCCTGCTGGATACGTGTGGAGACAAACGTGTCATGATGACAGGTTGATCATTGGGTGTGCTCACGGTTCCTTTGTGGTCCGCTGTGTGTATCTCGAGCCCTCTTGTCCGTTTGTCCCTCCTTCTGTCTGTCCGTCCATGGATCTGGCTGCTCCTTCTTAGGATACCGCTCATATGGGTAGAGAGATTTATAATTCCCATCAGCAGCAACTATGGAGTGTTCAGTGTGTGGGCTCTGGAGCCAGGCAACCTGGGTTCAAACACGAATTCCCCCATTTATTAGCCACGTGAACTTGGGCAAGTGTCTGAACCGGTCTGTGCCTCAGTTTCCTCATCTGTAAAATGGGATTAATAATGGCACCCACCTCTTAGAACGGTGGTGAGGGGGAAGAGATACCTTGTGAATGTGCTTAGCACAGAGTAAGTGCTTAATAGTGATTGTTCACTAATTTAGCTGCTACTTTTGTGACAGAGCTCTTCACCAATCAAGTGATTAACCCAGCCTTCCTTCTTCATTCATTCATTCCTTAGTCAGTCTGCCTGGCCAGTTGGTCATCCATCCATCCTTATACCAATCCATCTATCCATCCATATACCAATCCATTCATCTATTCATCCGTACATTCACCCACCCATCCATCCATCCATCCATCCATCCATCTACCAACCCATCCATTCATCTTCACATTATTTTTCCTCCTTGAACCTTACCCACTTGGGACAAAGAGCTGTATGGGCAAGGGATTCTCACCTGCCGAGGAGGAAATAGTGACCTGCGAGGGGCTTCTGAGAACAGGGGCTGAGAAAGGTTGAGTGGGGAAAGGGAGGAGAGGGGAGGCACGAGGGAGGCTGGTCGGATGGCTGTGTGTGCGTGTGTGGAGGGGCAGCCGGAGGACACGGGTTGCCCGGGGAGCAGTGTTTGTTAGGGGGCTGCATGAGGCTGGGTCACACAGTGAGGGTCAGGGCCATGGAAAAGGGCTTCCTTAAAACCATTTCTAGCACGTCCATCCTGTTCTGGCCTGTGACATCCGCGTGCACATTGGCCTCTGAATTCCTGGCTCCTTCAGGGACACAATTTCACTGACCACAGGCCAAGGGGTCTGGGAGGGACCACAGGTGTTTCCACCATGTTTATTGGTTTATGGGGCATTTTAACGTGCATGATGCTATCTGGCGCTACTTTTCCCCCTTCACGAATGAGGGAACTGAGGCCCAGAGAGGGGAAGTGACTCGTTCAGAGTCACACAGCAGCTATTGGCAGAATCAAGAGGGAAATTCTTCTACTCGGTTTGGGTATTCAGTGCCTGTGGAGCACTCTCCCCAGGGGAAGGTGAAGAGCTGAATAGCTGAGAAAAGTAGGAATGCAGCTTGTGGGAAAAGGACATTAGTCTGAGGACTTGGCACCTCTGAGGCTGGACCCGTGGCCGGAGCTGCTAAGGTGCAGCTCCATGGGCATGACTCAGCTACTGAGGGCGCTGGTCTTTTGTGCACTGCAGCAAAGTTCAGACTCTCTGGGAGCGCTGGGCGCCCTTATTCTGCCGATCCACAAACGCTGCGGAGGGGACCGCAGGGCCAAGAGTCAGTGCGGGGCTGGTCCCTGCTCAGCCACCTATGGCCGTTCCCGTGGGCTTTGGGTGGAGCAGGGAACCAGCAGGAGGCAGGGCAGGTTCCCAGAGGAAGAGATGGTGTCCGCGGCAGGAAAGGTGACCATTTATTTAAGTCCTACTCTGTGCCCAGCCACCATCACAAGTGTGTTATCTGCCCCCAGACTGGATGTTTACAGTCATCCCACCTAGTGGTTATTATCAGCCGTACTTTACGGAGGAGGAAAACAAGGCACAGAGAGGGCAGGCGATTCTCTCCAGGCCACACAGCCAGGGGAGCAGTGACTCTGACCCAGACCTGTTCTTTAATTCAAGAACCATGAGATAAAACTACATCTCCCTCGAGACTGGTTATTCTGAGAAACTTTGGTGGAAAAAAGTCCCTGTTTGGCCCAAAGATAATAGCATCGTAATGAGGTGTTTAATGGATCTGTCTGCAGAGGACGTCTTTGATGAATTATTTAAGCTGGCTCCGGAGAAAGTGAACGCTGTGAAAGAGGTAAGAGAGGTCAAAGTTCCAAGAGTACCTCCTGCCACCCGCCCACCCACCGCCCACCCGCCTTGAGTCTGGGGGTGGGGGTGGGGCAAAGGGAAAGGAATCAGGTCCTCACTCTGCACCTGCTGTGCGCCGGGTGCCGCGCGGGGGTCTTTTTGTGACCCCAAGTGGGAAGATCGCAAACCCGAGCTGGGGACCTGGGGCCTTTGTTCTTCCCTGGGTAGGCCATAGTGAACTTCGTCAACCAGAAGCTGGACCGCCTGGGCCTGTCTGTGCAGAATCTGGACACCCAGGTAGGGACTCAACTGCAGGGTCTGGGGCAGGGAAGGGGCATGGGGAGGGGGTTCCACAGGGCACTGGGAGCCTGGGCCCATCCTATGTGGCCTGGCGTGTGTCACCTCTTGGAACCTTGGGGTCCTCCTCTCCAATGGGGATGTTGCCGGTAGGCGGTATTGCCAATCAGGGGCACGACGGGGATCCTGTGAAGTGGGGATCTCGGGGTTTGTCTACGCTGTTATTACTTTTCATTGTAAAATAACCACTTTTCAGCTTTTTTCAAAATTAATCTTGGTCTATCCAACCCCAAGACTCAAAGCACGTGAGGTTCCCCTAACTGCATTCTCTCGCAGCGTTTATCAGGTTGTGCTGTGTGCCAGGAGGGGTTGTAGGTGCCGACACAGCCCCGTGTCTGCGGACTCCCTGAGTTGCCCAGCCCACTGTTCTGGGGCAGGAACAGAGTCTTAGGAGGTCAGCCTTCCCCAGTGGGTCGTGGCCTCCCACGAGGATTCTGTGCCCTGTGGTTTCCCTCAACACAGTGGGGCGCAGAGAAGCTGTGAAGCTAATTGCCGGCCCAGGGCCTTCAGGGCAGCAATGGAGCCTGCTGCACCCTGGGCGCATTAACTGGGCGTGGTGGTGCAGGGGTCGGGCCACGTGGGTTTTGCTCACACAGCATGACTGGGGGCAGGTGGTGAGGTCAGGTCTGGTCACTGGAGCTGCTGATGTCTCAGGCACAGCCTGACATTAGCCAGCGGGGAACGGGGTAGATATACCCCTGTGCCTGGCAGCTAAAGCCGATACAGCCCTCACCATGTGCCCGGCCCGGAGCAAAGTGCTTTGCGTACATTAACTCACTGACTCCTCCCAACAAACTCTTCAGGTGGGAACTGATACTATCCCACTTTACAGATGAGGACATTAAGCCCAGGGAGGTTAATTAACTTGTCCAAGGTCACACAGTGATTAACTGGTGGACCTGGGATTTGAACCCAGGTTGCTGAGGCCAGAGTTTGTGCTCCATCACCACCTCGCACGGCGGCCACGTGAGAAGTCTGTGTGACGTGGTGTGGTGACACTGCAGGGTGGAGATAGCAGATGGGCATGTGTTGCTCCTGGGCTCTGAGGACACCTCCTCCACCTTAGCTGTGTGGCTTTGGACCTGGACTTCTCTCAACCTCAGGCTCCTCTTTTTTTAAAATGGGTGCAGGGATACCAACCTCAGAGAACTGTGAGTAAGAAATGAGATGATGAGCATCCAGGTGTTTTGTGTATTACCTGACGCACTGTCTATGGGTAATAAACAATACATTTGTGGTTTTATTGTATTTTATGTGGGAATAAACAAGATGATTTCTTAGGGTTACATTCTACCCGTTTCATCTTTATCTCTCCCTTGGTAAAATAATGACATTTGCAGAATAATGGCACATGTGAGGATGGTATTTCGACTGCTGGATAAAAGGGGATATTAAAGTCCCTGGTATTTTGGTGGTATTACCAGGGAATATGCCAAACTAATAGCATCAGAACAGACCTAATATGAGGAAATTCCATTAAGGTCTTCGCGTGGTGGCTTTTCCTCCGACATTCAATCTTGTGTTTTGTGTCTTTGAAGAGATTGAATACGATTATATTAGCATATGATGTGCTGGTGCTAGGGTGACAGCTTTATCTCTGAACATACAGACAAAGCAGACCAATACAAATGTGGCAGCCAGCAAAATGAGCCCGGTGTGCTGTTCCCTGCCTTTTCCTGATGGAATTATTTTACACTTAACTCTGTTTTCGCCTGGGCTTCTGTAGCTCATGGAACAGTATGTGGTTTAAAAAATGATTTGAAGCTATTTTACAGAAAATGTGAAGATAGCTCATTTTATTGAGCACATGCTCTGTGCTAGGCAACCAATAACTGCTTTATACCTGCTGCTGTTTACAACAACTCTGTGAGGTCAGGGTGTCGTCCCCGTTTCTCAAAAAGGAACCTGAGGCTCAGAGAGCTTGTGTGACTTCCGTAGGGTCACACAGCCTGTAAAAGGCAGAGGGGATCCTCCAGGCTATCTGCCTCCCATTCCCTCCTTTGTAGTTTGCAGATGGAGTCATCTTACTCTTGCTGATTGGACAACTGGAAGGCTTCTTCCTGCACTTGAAGGAATTCTATCTCACTCCCAAATCTCCTGCGGAAATGGTAAGTTTTCCAAAGATTTTCCTCAGGGGTCTACCTCTAGGTAGACAGATCTAGGGAATTGGCATGATCAGTCATTATTTATTCACTTCCAGGTGAAGTAAGGGTGATGGGAAACTTTGTTTGTCCATACGTCTGCCCATCCATCCACCAGCCTCACCCATAGACCCTCACACCTATCCACTGACTTATTCATTCACTCATCCACGCAATTCATCCACCCATTCACCTGCCTGCACATCCATCCATCCATCCACCTGCCCATCCATCCATCCATCCATCCACCCATCCACCTGCCCATCCATCCATCCATCCGTCCATCCATCTATCCACCCATCCATCAATCCATCCATCCATCCACCTGCCCATCCACCCATCCATCCGTCCATCCATCTATCCACCCATCCATCCACCTGCCCATCCATCATCCACCCATCCATCCATCCACCCATCCATCCACCTGCCCATCCATCCATCCATCCACCCATCCATCCACCTGCCCATCCATCCATCTATCCATCCATCCATCCATCTATCCATCCATCCATCCATCCATCCATCCATCCACCCACCCATCCACCTGCCCATCCATCCATGCATCCACCTGCCCATCCATCCATCCATCCACCCACCCATCCACCTGCCCATCCATCCATGCATCCACCTACCCATCCACCCACCCATCCACCTGCCCATCTATCTATCCATCCATCCATCCATCCATCCATCCATGCATCCACCTGCTCATCCATCCATCCACCTGATCATCTATCCATCCATCCATCCATCCATCCATCCACGCATCCACCTGCTCATCCATCCATCCATCTACCTGACCATCTATCCTTCCATCCATCCATCCATCCACCTGCCCATCCATCCATCTACCTGTCTGCCCACCCATTCACCCATGCACCGGATCCATCATTTTCTGAGGTCCTCTTGGCATCAGGCCCCGTGGGCCATAAAGACAATCCAACACAGCTCCTGCTTTTGAGGACCGCTCACTCTCCACCCGCTGGACTCTCAGTGATGTATGGTATTCTAGGGCTGTGATGAAGTGCCTTGGCTCATGGTGGGTGGGCCGGTGCAGGACCTGAAAGAAAGCGTGGCTAGCAGGATCTGCAGCAGTCAGGAGAGGCCTTGCGTGAGAGGTGGCCATGAAATTGTCTAGGGCTTGGTTCGCAGCGTTAACTAGGGAGGGCACCCCCAGGGGAAGGGAACAGAGTCAGCCAAGGCTCGGATGTGGCAGGGCTTCTGGCCTTGTGGGGGTCAGGAGTTCCCATGTGGACCCTGGAGTCTGGGGGGCTGATTGGGAGATGGCTGCATTAGTCCAGGCGGAGGGCTCTGGTCTCTGCCTGCACCTCAGGCTTTTTGCCCCTAAAATGTGCTCACAGCCCCTGCCCTGCCACCCCTCAGACCACAGGGGTATGTGGTCCCTGGTCCCCCAGACCCGCCCAGGACCCCGGGTGGCCAGCTTCTCTCTGTCTGCACCAGGGTCCCAGGGACGGCTCAGCGGCAACCCAGGGTAGGAGGGCACCCTTTCACCCCTCCACAGAGAGGGGACACCAGGCAGGGCTGGGTGCTGGTTCCCAGTGCCAGCCTTGGGGAGTTTCTGGGAAAAGGAAAGATTTTGGTCCCCTTTGATGTGCCCATGGCCCTGGGGCTGGTTCAAACCTCAAGGCCTGCCTGGGGTTGGGGGGTGAGCCTATACACCCTTGACCCTGGTCCAGTTCCAGTTTCGATCTCTGCCTGGCCCCCACATATCCGCAGCCCTGTCTGTCCCTGCTTCTGGCCGCAAGCCTGACCTACTCGGTCCCCTGCCGAATGTTCCAGGCCCGCCTTCCCAGCCTGCCTGACCCCCAGCCGCAGCCTCACTGCCCGCCTTTGCTCCTTACTCGGCCTGGGCCTCTGGCATCTCCAGACCTTCCCCAGGGATGGGCTGGGCGTCAGGCCATCTAGGCTGGGGTCACTGGGGCGGTCCAGCTCTGTACCACGTGCTTCTCGTCCTCCTGCTGGGACTGGCAGTGAGCCTGGCGTGGTTTTTTCACGGCAACCGCAGGGACACAGAGACAAAGCAGAACACACAAGGTGCAGGCTCAGACCTGGGGTGCTGTCACTTCCTCTTCATCCTCTTGGCCAGAGGAGGCCCTGCGGCCTTGGTGCGGAGGCGGGAGAGCCCTGTGCTGTGTGGTGCAGAGACGATGCAGAACTGGGCCTGGGGAGGCGCTTGCCTCCCTGGATGAACTTGCTAATTCCTCCCCACATCGGGCCTCTGAGTAGGAACTATTCCCCATCCCCATTTTGCTCTGGGGAAACTGAGTTCAGAGAGAGCTGGTCAGGAGCACACCACTAGTTAGGGTCGAGGTCAGACTGGCATCCAGGCTCGTCCGTCTCCAAAGTGAGAGCCGCCTCCTTGCGTCCTTCCGGGGGAGCCAGGGGGAGCCCCATGGGAGATGGGGGCGGGGTGGTGGGCCCAGAAAAAGGCTCGCCTGGAGCTGCGGGGACGGGGGGCTTAGGTGGGTCAGAGTGAGGCTGAGACCGTGGCACTGACCTTCATCCACAAGGCAGGAGGCCCATGTGTGGTAAGGGTGGGAGGATGGAGACGGGCAGGTCACACGCGGGCCCCCTGGGGACGAGGGGCTCAGAGCAGCACAGGGGTCCCCTCTCTGTTACTCAGGTGTTGGGGATGTCACACCTGAGTAATGGGATGTCAAGGTGTGATCACTATTTGCTCACCTCCAACCCCTAGTTAGTTACAAGCCAGGGACAAACGTCCCAACTTCCAAGGCCCCTGTGTGCAGGCAGCCTGCCAACTCCACCGGCTTCAGGACCGGCTTCAGGACCGGCTTCCAAAGATGAGCCACAATCTATGTGGAGGAAAAGAAGCAGTCTCTCAGCTCAGACCCCAAGGATGCGTTTGTATGGACTATTGTAGGAAACCTCAGCCATAGGAATGTGTAATAAAAATGCCGAGGAAGTCATTAGCAGAAGAGCGCAGGAACAGCGGCCTTTCCGAGGAATTGTTTTCTCTGCAGCGTGACCTCTGGCCATTGAATTGCTCCTTATCAGACCTTCTTTGCTGACGGCGTCTACGTGAGGTTGCCGTTCCCTGAGGGAAGAGGCGTCGGGGTGGAGGAGAGAGGCGGTCATTTTCTCTGCAGAAATGAAAGCACGGGGCCAAGAATCTCTGGCTTCCTCCTACATGCAATTACTTCTCCCCGGGACGATTTGAATGCATCCTTCTGGATCGTAACCTTCTCTCAACTCCATACTTTCATTAACTCAAACTGTGCGCGGAAGAAAAATGATGCTTTGGGTGGAGCGTGGTGGGATCAGGCTGGAGCCTGGGGCAGCTGCTCCTGGTCAGACTGGGCATCACCGAGGAGTGTGACCCAAGAAACAAGTGCGATCACCGCCCTAGTTGATGGCAGCAATTCTCACATTCCACGAGGGCAGGCAGTGGGTCTGGGTTTGCCCCTGTTGCGTGGCCAGCGCATAGTAGATGCTCAATAATTTTTATTTATTTATTTATTTTTTGCGGTACGTGGGCCTCTCACTGTTGTGGCCTCTCCCGTTGAGGAGCACAGGCTCCGGACGCGCAGGCTCAGCGGCCGTGGCTCACGGGCCCAGCCGCTCAGTGGCACGTGGGATCTTCCTGGACCGGGGCATGAACCCGCATCCCCTGCATCGGCAGGCGGATTCTCAACCACTGCGCCACCAAGGAAGCCCAATAAATATTTTTTAAATAAGTGAAGGAAGTCTTTCCAAGACACTGGTCCTGTGAGCTGCTATGTGACAAATGGATCCTATGGTCAAGTCACCTGGGAAAACATGCACAGTCTTGAAGGCTCATGACACACCAAAACATATTCAAGGCTCTGAGAAGTCCTGCAGTGGGGGATTTCCATATAACTTTGTCGAAGCCAACGTTTCCCAAAGCTGTTTGGCTTTCTGCACCCTGGACCACGCTGTGGGGATGCGGGCTTAGAGGGTGAGCGCATCAAAGGCAGGGCTACGAGGCGGGGGAACCCAGCCCGGGTGTCTCGTTCTCACTCTGACATTTACGTTCTGTGTGCCCTGTCAATAGTGTTCATGATGAGAAAGAATAATAGCAACAGCTGTAACCCTCATTTTCCAGTCGGGGGAAGACTTGGGGACAAAGCACGGGACGAGCAGTGGAGGTCTTAGCCCCTCACTCTGAGGTTTGCTTCCACCTGGTCTGGACATCCCCAGGGGTGTGTCTCACCTGCTTGGGAGCATTGGCACCTGTGACAACCTTGGTTTCTTCTTCTTGACGGGCTCTAGAGGGGCCAGCCCTGCTGGGCCGGTGACCCAGCCTCTGCCACTCTCTCTCTTGCATGTTGGACCCAGCTCAGTGCCTCTGTCCATCTGATGTTCCATCAACTCTCCCCCGTGGAGAAGGACCCTGCTCACTGCCTTCCAGATCCCCGTGGTCCCCGCACGGCCACCAGCTGCCACGGAGGACTCTGGCCCCTTGCCCGGGATGCGGCAGGAGTCCTTGGCGTGGGCGGAACATGCTCCCCCTGACCCTGCCCTGTGCCCTCGGACCAGGACTGCGACCTGCCCCTTTCCCTCTCAGACAGAGTTCTTTCTCAGGGGCTTCAGGCCCTCCTACACGCCTCACTTCCCAACCCTTGTAGGAGCCCGGACAGCTGGAATTTGCAGGGAAGCCCTGGCTCTGCCTTTATTATTCCACGTTCAAGTCTTGCCTTGTGGTTCCAATCCTGTGTCCACCATCACACTTGGATCTACACGGCAGCTTGGAAAGGCCTCTGGAAGATGCACTATTCCCCTTGTACAGATGAGGGGACAAAGGCCCAGGCAGGACATGTGCCTTGTCTGACCTGTGACTTGTGACCTAGTGGGGCGGGTGCACAGACATCTAACCCAGACCTGCCCAGACCCACCAGGAGGTGACTGCAGGCGGCCTAGGCAGGGCGGCCTCCTCGGATGGGCCTGGCTCATCTGCTGCTCTGCCAGCCGGGTCTCTGGGCCCCTGGCTAGTTTGCCATGGGAACTGCCTGGCCTGTGTGAAGCGGGCTTTGGGGCTGGTATGGTCGGCAGATGGGGAGGGAAGGGACCAGCACGGCTGGCCACCAGTCTGGGACATCCAGTCAGCACGGTGGGCCTGAGACCGTTGAAGGAAGGACCTGCTTGAGCTGCCAGTGAGTTGGGGACTCAGCCAGCTTTATCCCTGCCTCGTCCTGCCTTGCCCCACGCCCTCTTTTTTACCACACCAGCCTGCTGCCCCAAGGAGAAGGGCAGGGGTCTTTTCGGTGGGGTCTGAGAAACTAGCTGTGAAAAGGCAGGGCTCCACTAACAGAGGGGCTGCTCTGAGCCGAGGGCTGATGGGGCTCCCCAGGTCCCGTCACCCAGGGTCCTGTATCGGGGGAGATGGTGGAGACCCCACTTTGCAGGGAGCAAGTGGAGGGCCCGAGGCACCAAGGGACTTGCTCGAGGCTCCCCAGGACCGAGCGGGGATCCGAACCTGGGTGGGCCTGACTCTGGCCCGGGGAATTCTCAGTGCTGAGAGCGGTGTCTCAGGCGCCAGCCCAGGCAGAGGGGTGGCACAAAGGGCAGGCACCTGGGTAGAGGTGGCTCCTCCAGCCCCCAGTCTGCTTTGCAGGCCTCTGGTTCCGACACTTTCCATCTTGTGAATTCAGATGAGCCCTGTGGCCACTCTGAACGTCGGTCTCCTCATCAATGCTTTACCCATGGAACTCAGCTCTCTGTTCCTGAGGGAGTCTCTGTTGCTCACGGGTTTTGGGGCTGCTTCGGAAAAGATCAGGATGAACCCATGCTCCCTTCCCTGGTTAGTCCCCTCACCTGGCAGGACTCACCCCCAGGTGTCACCTCCACCAGGAAGCCTTCCCTGATCCCTGGGCTGGGTGCCTTCCTCAGGGACTGCCTTTCCCACTAGAGGTGGCCTCCTTGCTGCACTATGGGTCATTGTGCTGACATCTGATGGGGTCTTGTCATTGTAGCTACACAACGTCACCCTGGCCCTGGAGCTGCTGAAAGATGAAGACCTTCTCAATCACCCTGTGAGCCCCGAAGGTGAGTGCAGGGCCCTCGTGGGCAGCCAGCCTCGGGCGAGCGCCACAGAGCGGGGCACGGGGCCTGGGGACAGCCGTGTGTTGGTGCAGCCTCTTGCCTGGCGTTTGCTGAGTTTTCCTAGGCGGAGCACTGTGTCCACAGCCCCTACCCACGCCAGTGGAGGATGGTCATGGGGCGAGGAGATGGGGGACTGAGGTCCCTGGGGATGGGCTGTCCGGAGGGCTGAGGCCTGGAGGAGTTGCAGTGTTGGGGGCCCCACAAGAGGGTGCCGGGGAGGAGAAGGAGGTAGCACGCCCTGTGCTGGGTCCTGGACTCAGGCCCAGCTTGACCTACTGTCCTGGTTTGCAGGGGCCTCTCCCGGGTTTAGCCTGAAAGCCTGTGTCCCAGGGAACCCCTTGGTCCCGGGCAAAGGTGGACGGTTGGCCACCCCCTGCCCAGGCCTGAACCCTGCCCTGCTCTCCCCTGGCCCGCAGACATCGTGAACAAGGACACCAAGAGCACGCTGCGAGTCCTCTACGGCCTGTTTCGCAAGCACAAGCTGAAAGAAAGCACGGACGGGGAGCCCCTGGAATCCCCAAATTAACCGTCACAGCCCCCCAAATCTGCTTCTCAGAGCCTGCCTGCCAGCCCCAGCTGGAGGTCCTGAGGGCCGCAGAGGGATCTCCTCGCCGTCCAGCCAGCCCCTGGGCCTCCCACTCTTATCCTGTGTGTCTGCGGCACGCCCCAGCTCCCCCTTCCCTCTCTGCTCTTTCCATCTGTTTGAATATCTTTGAACTCACTAAGCGTGGATTCGTTCTGAGCCAACCTCTGGCCTCGCTCAGTTTCTTTTAACAAATGTATTTCTGGGAGGGATTTGGGGAGCCTGCCGTTGTCCTGGGAAGGGCCCCGCTAAATGTACATGAATATGAGCTGACCCCCCGCTCTGCACGCAGCCTCTCTCCCCACAGGGTGGGTGTGGGAGGGGCTCTTGTCTCTGAGGCCACCCCTGGGGTAGCCAAGAGCCCAGCGGTGCTGACCTTCACTGGAGCAGGACCGCCCCTCAGGTGTCAGGGTTGACCTGACGGCAGAGACCCGCCTGCCCACACTCAGCTACTGCAGCCCGCCTGCCTCTCGAGTGGTGGCCCCAGCATCGCCCTCCAGAGGCAGGAGCCCTAAGTGGCTCCAAAACCAGGCCGCTGTGCCCCTCGGGAAAGTCAGTTCAGTTACTTTTCAGAGGAACCGTGGCCCAGGCCCAGCCCTATAGCCACGATGGTGAGCTTTGCCCAAAAGTCACAGGGAAGACGTCTTTGTGGCTGGTTAGTGGGTCAGATCGTCTCCTAGTCGGTCCCCAAGGAGCTGCTGCGTGCGTGTGTGTGTGTTTGTTTGTGTGTGTGTGTGTTTGTGTGTGTGTGT